GACGGAAGTCTCGGCCATGAATGAGAATCTCCTCTGGGATGAACTTAAGCTGGGACCCCGGACGGAGGAGCTGCACTCTGGACAAGCCGCTCACTGAAGCGAGAGTCCAAGTAGGATAGCTATGGGTCACTCTGGGAGGACTCCCTGCAGTCCAGCCTGCCCCGCCCCTTTTATAAAACCCTCAGGCTTACCAGCCTCTAAACGCCCAATGTTGACCAGGGCAAAATCATATTCACTGCTCAGGGGAGTGTCCTAAAGGAAGCCAAGCCAAGACTGGTGTTATTGACCTCGGACAGCCATCATTGTCCCACCTTGGTGACTCTTCTCTCCCCTCCCCAGTAGAAGGCAACTTACTTCCCTAGAAATAATTCCTACTATCAATGATACATCCAAAAGAAAACCCCTAATCCTGTTTGTCCGAATCCAGATTCCCTTGCTGTTCACTCTAGCTGTCCTTTATTTTGTCCAGTAACAAGAGTATTGCTATGTAGCCTAGGCTAGCCTGGAACACTCATGGTCTTCCTGTCTCAGCCTCTGGGGGGGGGGGGTCACAGGTCACTGCCACCATGCCCAGCTTCTGTCTTGTCTATTATCCTAACCATCTCACCTGATTTCGCTGCCATCCACAAGGTTGGAAGGTGACCCTAAAGTTAGTGCAGATCAGAGTTCCAGGCAGTTCCAATTCTTGCCCCTTCCTCAGCCCTGGTGCCCATGCTAGGATCTTCTCCCCTAAAAGGGAAAAAAGGAAGCAAAGTTCTAACTGTTCCCTATGCTGCCCACATGTCTACATCTCTACTCCTCTTTCTAGAATGGAAGATAGAAGGGAAATGATTTGCTTTTTTTTTTCCCCTCTCTCTCTCCAGACAGGGTTTCTCTGTGTCCTCAGTCCTGGCTATTCTGGAACTCACTTTGTAGACCAGGCTCCAGGCTGGCCTCAAACTCACAGAAATCCACCTGCCTCTGTGTCCCAAGTGCTGGGATTAAAGGCGTGCACTGCCATCACCACCTGGCTATGGTTTGCATTTTTTAACCTCTAAAAACTCAGTGTACAAAACAGGGCACATAGTAGACACGCAATGATCATGGACTAGTTAATAAGAAAAGGGCTAACCAAGGCAAGAAAACAAGAGGGAACATTAAGGTTCCCCAGCAGCTCTGGGGAGACAGGAGAGCAAGCCTCAGGCAGAACAACTCCGACGAAAGGAATCCAGAGCTATGTCTGGTGAGAACATACGAAGGCTGGGGTAGGAGGAATCCTGATGGAGTCTTGGGAAGTCAAATTATTACCTGGGAGACACCCAGAGGCCAGGCAACCGCCAAGCTGATGACTGCTGGGCTCCGGCATCCTGTTGCCTCCGCCAGACTTGGGTCCAGAGAGCTGAGAAGGGGAGAGTTAATCTGGGACTTCCCAACCTCAGGATCTGGGATTTCTTCAGCAGCTGCTGGCAGGGACCCACACTGAGCCTCTCCCTCTCAGGGAAACTGAGACCAGTGACTGCCAGGAGCTCAGGCCTGGGACTGGCAGACAGGACAGGGAGGGGCTAGTTAATGGATAATGAGACAACTCGAGACTGAAAAGTGCAGAGCAAGCTCCATGGCAGTTGATAAAAAGATACACCCTCCTCCTCTGGACCCTTTGCTTCCCTCTTAATTTCCACAGCATCCCCATTCATACCGTCTTGCCACCCCCTCCCCCCATTCCTTCTCCTTACCATCTCTGGCTCCTCCTTCCGGGGGGCAATGTTGAAACTCTGGCCCCGGCCCCCCCACCACATTTCCCTGGCTCCATCCGGGAGTGGAGCAGCTAAGGGTGGGAGTTCTCAAAGATGCTCACTCTCTGGGGAGAGGCTAAATCCTAGAGGTGGGGAGAAAGAGGCCAGGGAGGACTCAGGGGAAACAGCCTTTGGGATGCCAAGAGCACAGTTCCGGTGGTCTTACTTGAAAGGTGTGTCCTGCCCAGACACGGGAGGCTCTTTGGAAACTTCGGTGAGTCTAAAGAGGACAGGCGAGATGCCCAACCCCTTAAAGGAGAATACGCACAATTTTTTGGAAAGTAGAAAGGAAATGGAGGACCTTAAGAAAGATGGGAGAAATGGGGTAACTGGGGAATACCCAAATTTCCTTCACCCAATCCCACATTCTAGTCCCTTTAGTCCCTTTTCTGTTCATGAATATTAGAAGTGTGGAGGCAGTAATACAATTATTAGATAGAAACATTTTGTGCTAGCTCTACTGTTTCAGTGGAAACGAAACACTAGGAAACTCAAGTGTTTTGTTTGGTTTATTTATGGGTTTGTGATTATGTTATTTTGGCCTGTGTTTTGATTTTCAACCTTCACCGACAAGCTAACGACAGGGCTTGAGAAGAGGATGTAAATGGGAACAGGACCTTGTGTCCTTTCCGGAGAGCGTGACAGGCCGAGGGGCAAGTGGAGTGGGCGGAAGTTGGTGCGTCTAGGATGCAGACGTAGTACAGGTATTTTGGCGTGCAAATCTCGGCAGTGGGGCGGAGGAGGGGGGAGGCGGGTAGAAAGCACAGGAAAAACTCATAGTATCTAATCCAGCCTTTACGCACAGCAAGCGCACCTCCCTGTTCCCGCCTTCACCTATTCCCCTGGAAAGCCCTGCCTCCTCCCCTCCCAACCCAGTCACCAGATCTCCTAATGAATGATTCATGTTCTGGACTTTGAAAGCTAAGGGTTGGAAACCTTCTTTCAGCTCCAGGATCACATAGCCCCCTCCTTCCTTAACTCAAGGAGCAAAGATGGGGGTGGGGTGCTAGGAGACGCGGAACAGAGATGGAGGTGGGGAAGGCAACTCGAGGGCAGCATGTTTAACACGGAAAAGACAGGAAATGAACACAAAATTGATGTTAATGAGCTGCTGTTTTATTGTTTCTGAGTCTGTACAGAGGCAGCAATCCTAAGGTGGGGGCCGTGACACCCAATACTCCCCTCCCCACAGCACACATCCTTCCAGCCTCAGCTTCCCAAGTTCCCAGGGTTGGCAGCAACTGTGGAAATAGTGAAGGTAGCCCGAGCAGAGTCAGTCTGGAACAAACAGGTATGTACTTGCTAGCAAGAGCCCCAGAAGCCCGACTGTAGGAATCCAAAAGGCCGCTGACCACCACCCCCACCCCGCCCCACACCTCAATGTCTTGTGGAATACAGTACGGGCTGTAAGAGGGACGCAGCAGGTAGAGAGGTGTGCCCCACCCCCATGGTTTAAAATCCCACGATCCACTTTTCCTCACCCCACCTTCTTCCTTCAGAGAGCCTCATTCTATTTTTTAATACCTCAAGGTATGGGAGCAGCAGAATACAGAGGAAGGAATAGTCAGAACTGGGAGAAACCATAAATAAATTGGGTGATTTGGATCATCACCTAACCAGAAATGCGAAAGGGGTAGCAGCCGTGGGTTAGGTAACGGAAGATTGCAGCACAAACCCAGAAGCCCATGGGATGGAAAGGGCAGAGAGGGGCAAAGAGCTCTATCAGTTTTTCATTTTCAGACCCCTATTTTGGTTACACGTTTGTGCCAGGAGCAAGGGCTGTTGGGAGGGGCAGCCGGAGGAGGGAGGTGGAGCTGAGTGACTCAGAGGATGAATCACAGATCCAGTTATAAACACAGAAAGAGGCCAAGGTCCTTCCCACCCCACTCCTTAGACAGCTTCCATCACTTCTGCTGCCCCCAACCCAGACAGCCAATGGAGGAAGCAGACACAGGAATTCTACAGGGAAGCGTGGTAGTTAATCAGCTTAAGTCTGCAAAACATTAAAAGAGACAGAGTGCCTCCATGACTCATTGAATCAGCAACTGGAGATGGAGGGAAAGAAGAAAATTATGAGACTCTGGGGTACATGTGTTTCTAAGCCAGAAAATGGCTTCCAATTCACCTATGGCTATATGGCTGATACTGCCTCCTTGGAAAATGAGGGCACAGTCCAGAGGTGTCTGAGTAACTCACAATTATTTCCAAATGCTCCTTTATTGAAGGAAAAACAAAGTGCCTGGAACCTTGGGCATGTGACTGAAGGAAGAAAGGCAAGAGCCAGATCTCAGAGAACCAGCTCCATTCTCTGGGCTCAGGATCACCTCCCAAGTGTACAATATAAAATCATGCTAATTTTTGCTTTATTGGTCTGTGGCCTTTGGAAGCCTATAGCGAGGAAGGTACTTCTACTTTAAGGCACAGCAGGGAACTTAACACCATCCGTCACTCTTAGAAATTGCATCTTAAAAACTAAATAAAAAGATACGATTTATATTATTTATAAAACAGTATGAGGAAATATTTTGCAATTCTCAATTAAGCCAGCATGAGTTAAGAGGAAGGATGTGGAGGATGGCCCTCTGGTGTATTTGCTGTAAGCTGAGAACACAGAATGTAGGGTGGAGAGTGCAACCATGTTAAGTGAAAGGAGAAAAATAAGAACCCTGAAGATCTCCTCTCTGCATCCCACTTCAGCAGAAGCCCAGATGCCCTGGATTGACAGGAATAATTGCACTTAAATGGAAGCCTGAGAGATGAGGCCATGCCTCATCTAAGGATACAGGGTCTGCCTTCCGTCACTCATGTGACCTCCTAAACAAGGGAGGTTCTACTCACTTGAAAGCCCCCACATGGTCCTCCCTCCCTTTTCCCCACCACAGCAATTGCATGGGCTCGTCTATCCCAAAAGACAGGCCGGTCCGTATCGGTTTTGTTTTCTAGACATTATTAATTCCATCCTACTCAACCCCTCCTTCACCCCCAAAAAGAATGAAAAATAAAGTCCACCACTCCTTATTTTAAAAAAGAATGTTTCAGAGAATGGAGAGGCCTTTTGGTGTCATCCTCCCAATTGAAACAGATTTAACAAGAAGTTAAAGGGCCTAAGACCCATTTTCCACACCATCTTAGAACACCCTTCCCTTTCCCTGGAACTTCCTTTTATTTTTGCTTTGGAAAGGCAAACAATTAAGATTGGGTACCATATGAATAAAAACAAACATGATACAAGGTTTCTGTTTCTCTTCATTTGTCCTCAGTTTTTAAAAACAAGAGTGGTAAATACAATCTAATAACATATCAAGTCCAAACACAGCAGTCCAAGGAGAGCAACTCCCCTGTTTTACTTGATAGGAAAACCCCTGCCAGGCTCTCTGTTCCTATCCACTTAGGCAGGCATCTATGCAGGGTATGGGAGAATGACTGAGCAGTGGACACCATGGTGTCTGTAGTGTCAGAAGGGAGAGGCTCATCTGGTGAAGGCTTCACCAGTGTCATTCAAACTCCAGGAACCGGGACAAGTCTAAAGGGATGAGAACAAGGCACAGGCATTCATTCACCTTGGGAGAAAAACTGAAGGAGTGCTTAAAACCCAGGAATCAAGATAAATACTATCTTGATGCAATATTTTTTAAAAAATCAAAAAATGTTTAAAAAGAACAAACTTTATGAACGTATCAAAATTTAAATAGGATTTGTCCTCATAGTTGTTCAGTTCAGGGCTCACTTCTTTACCTTAATACCAATTCCTGTTATATCCCAAGATTTTGATGTTTTGGTCAATCTGGGTTTTATATTGTGTTTCTATACTTGACGGTGTGACCCTAGCACTTGGGAAGCTGAAGCAAGAGGGTCATACATTTGAGGCCAGCCTAGGCTACAGAGTAGGACCCTATCAAAAAACAAAAACAAAAAAAAAACAAAAACCCCTCAATTTTTGAATAGACCTTTAAATTATACACCAGTCAGAAATGCTTGTCCTATATTAGGTTCCAGCTTAAAGAAACCTGGGCGTGGTGGCTCATGCCTAGATCCTACAATTCAGAAGACTGAGGCAGGAGGATGGCTATGCATTGAAGGCTAGCCTGGTCTATATAGCAAGTACCAGGCTGGCCAGCCAGGACTAAGTATCAAAGAAACAAACAAAAAATTGCCTAAAAATAACGATAGGAAATTATTAAATCAACAGATATGGTAGATATGGAAGTGAGTGACTTTCAAATTTTTGGAGGGGAAAAACTAAATAATTTCACTGAGAAATTTTTGACTAGCTTCGTTATCAAGGCGAGGTGTGACCATTTTCCTAACCAGGCAGAAGAAGCATGTAGACAAGGGTTCCTCAAGCATGCACGCACGCACACACACGCACACACACACACACACACACACACACAGAGCCATTTGTGACTTAGATCAAATGTGAGAATTACATTCCATTAGTGGGTGATGACATCCCTCACTCAGCAAAGAAATCAAAGCCCAGAGCACAGTCCAGTTAACACTCCGGACACACCTCTTTGTCATATGCAGCCACAAGTGTACACAATTGCATAGATGATTTTTCCCCCAGAAAAAAAATATAAGGAAAAAGGACAATTGGTGAAAGATAGTCTTCTGGTTTAAAGCTCTTAGAAATGGCTCTGGTCAGAGCATAAGCTGTCCAGACTTGTGCTTTGTGCAAACTGCAAGGGCGCTCTCACCACTGGGGCCACTCCACCCCTCTGGAGAACAGGGTTGGCTCAGGAAAAGGGAGAAATCCAAAGGCAGATCCGCTCACTGGGCTAATCTGGGCCTGTGGCTACGGTTCACTAAAATATATTTCTCTAGCTACCTTTATAAAAGGCCCTTTCCCACACTTCAATACCAGCCCTAATATCAAAAATATTCTTCTTACAAAGTATTTTTATTATTTTAATAAACTAACCATAGATTAAGGTCAGCTATGGCTTAACAAAAGAAGCCAGGATGTTAAGTTCATTCTCCAGCAATAGACAGGAAGGAGAAAAAAAATCGCTTAAATGGGGATAGGGAGTAAGTAATTTTTAATTCTTTTTTTGTCAGGATCTTATTTCTTTTTCTTTAAAAAATTAGTACACTAAGCTGCTTTCTCTAGAAAGGCAGCCGCAGAGGACGAGAACTCTGTATAGGGTTTTGGTATTGTTTCAAACAGTCTGGCCGAGCGTCTGGCCTTCCTCCGCCTTCCTCAGTGCACTCAAACCCCACATATAGTTATTGCTAAGTAGTTAAAAATAGATTCCTCTGTACCCACCCACCTGAAGAGAAGCCCACACACAAGGCTGCTCTTACCACCCTCCTCTCCCCCTAAAGGGACTTGCTTTTAAAATAAAAACTTTTTTTTTTAATCACAACTTCTTAAAACTTAGCTGAACTTAGTCCTCAAAATGGATGAGGAAAAGATGGGGGCAATAGACAATCTCCCCTAAAACTAGAATGGATGACAGATGACTATCTAGAAGAACATAACACTTACGAGGCAAAGAATCCCCCTTGAAGGTTCCTATTTCCACTCACTGGGATTTAAATACCCTTTCTAAGTAGGCCAAGCACACATGCCTGACATCTACCTAATTTAGACCAGGATCAAACTTGTTCTCAGGTTCGCCCTATGCTCCCAATTCCATCATCATGTGCTTTTTTTCTAAAGTCAATGAACTTTGGTCTATTTTTCCTTAACTGACTGAAAACCTTCTTTCCAGGTTCCTCCCACAAGATGTCCACCCACCTCCCACCCACACACACCAATTATTTCCCCACTTTCCCTTGGGCCCTGGAATAGGGCAAGAGGTTATGAGATAGTCTTCCCCTTCTGTCTTGCAGTCTCAAGCCAAACTGCGTAAGAGTAGTACAGCCCTTGAGGTAGGACTAGCCCTGTCCTGCTCTCGCCAGCCTGCCAGCACTCCAGCTCCCACAAACACTCTGCACTTGCCCCATCAACACAGGGGCCGGGTCTTGATGAGCCAGAGCTGAGCTTAACTTTTCTTTGTTTAGCCCCTTCCCGCCAGGTCCCACCCATTCAGAACCTATGCGCCAGCAGTTCCCCCCTCCTCAGTTCTTCCCTGTAACAGCAAGAGCAGAAGTTGTTTGTCTCCGGGTGTCCATAGAAGCTGCAGTTCGGTTGTTTGCATTTGGTCTGGGTTGGGGGAATGCCCTGGGGACCTCCAGCCCATCCATCTGGCTCAGGAGGCTCTCTGTAGCCATTGCTATAGGAATCAGCCACACGGAACTGGGGTGGTAACAAGGCACCCCTGTGAACTCCATCTTTGCCTGGCTCCAGAGATGGGATGTTGTCCTGGTGGGGATAGGGTCGCCCAGGAGGGTACTGTCTGGGAAAGGTGGCATATGGTGGAAGGCCACCTACACATGGGCCCCCTGCCAACTGCCGGCGGGGCTCCTGGCAGTGGACTCCACCCCCAGAAGGTCGCGGGATAGTAAAGCCCCCAGGGTAACCAGCAGAGAATGCCAGTGCCTTCGACTCTGCTGGGGGGTCACTGGGCGGGACCTCCCCACCATCTGGCTCTGGCTTTTTGGCTGGAGGAGGCCCACTAACTAACCCTCCATTCATGATCTTCCTCTCAGCTTCCTTCTGCTTCTGTTCTGCCAGGAATCTCTCCTCAGCATCTGCAAGGTAGCGCTGGATCATCTCCTCCTGATATTGGTGCCGGTGGCCCATCTTCAGAGTTCCAACAAAAATAAATTTGCCCTCCCCTTGCATTGCAATCCTCATAATGCTCAAGCTTTGCATCACTTCCTGGCTATACTTGCTCCCTCCATTGCCAGCAGACTCAGACGAGGGTTTCTCTGACACAGGCCCATCCCCAGCTGCATCCTCCTTGCCACCCTTCCAGCTCTTCAATGAGTTGTTCTTCTTCTTCTTCTCTAGTGTCTCGGTACCACTGCTTATTCCAGACCCACTCCCCAGTCCTCCAGGCTTAGGGCCCTTGCTATGCATCAGGCCCCCCATGTTCTTCTTAAGCTTGCTGCCCAAGGTCTTGCCAAAGCTGCCCAGTTTGTTAGCCACAGAATCTGCTCTCTTCTTGTCCTTCTCCCGGTCTCGCTTCGACTTCTCCTTCCGTCTGCTGCCCTCATTGCCAGTAGAACTGCTGCCAACTGACTCCTTGTCTGATTCTCCAGACTCAGGAGTGGATCTGGGCTCGTCTCCAGCTGAGGCTGTGGGGGACTCTGGCTGGGCCAGAGGAGCCTGTAACAGAGAGCACCATTGACAGTTACCTCACTGGTTGGTGTGGGTAAGTTCCCACAGGCACGGAACCTATCTAACAGTTTACAGGGCTCCCTGTCACCTCTGCTATTGGCCACACACAAAAAAGGGTACTATCCTGATTAGTGCCTTTATCACTTTGATATTAGTTAGGGTCATCCAGGAAGAAGGAATGTTAGTTAAAGAGCTGCCCCATCATTCTGGCAAGCTGGCAAGTCTGAGGAGCCTTTTCTTGATTAGTGACTGATGTTGGAGGGCCCAGCTCACGGTGGGTGGTACTGCTTCTGAGTAGTAGTCTTGGGTTGTGTAAGAGAAGTCAGGAAAGCAGACTAGTAAACAGCGTTCCTCCATGACCTCCGCTTCAGTGCCTGCCTCTATGTTCCTGCCCTGGCTTACAACAATGCTGGAGTGCTATCAGAACACATACATCAAATAAACTCTTTCCTCCCCGCATCAACTTTTTGGTCATGATCTTTACCACAGCAACAGGTAGCAAACTAGAACAGGTGGCAAGTGCACCATGAACCCCATCTGTCTAGCTCCAGAGAAGGTTACTAGTATGACAAAGTTCACTCAAGAAGCCACTGTCTTTTCTGGCTTCAGCCAGATGGTCATGGGCCAAGAAAAGATATTTATCTACTATCTAACTTTCCATCACTCACTGAAGTCTGATTTCCTTCTGTAATGAGGAGATTCAAGAGGGAACCTGAGTGTTTCACAGCAGTGAGGCACTGTAATGCATGGCCTCTGGGTGAGCAGGGGCGTTTTCTTCCTTCCTCCTTTTCCTCTCTTCCTTTTCTCTTCCTTTCCTTCCTTCCTTCCTTCCTTTTTTTCCTTCCTTCCTTCCTTCCTTCCTTCCTTCCTTCCTTCCTCTCTTTACTTCTTTCTTTCATTTGAGATGGGGTCTTGTTACACCATCCAGAGTAGCCTAGAACTCATAATCCCCTTGCCTCAGTTTCCCAAAACACCGGGACTAAGGGTATCTGCTACTTTGCCTAGCTGGAAATTTTTTTTTGCAGATACCAGTATGCTCATTATTACAAGTCTGTCTATGTCCAATTCTGTTCAGAATTCGTTTCAAGGAAGCCTTAGCCAAGCACAAACGCCCAGGCCTGAGCACTGCTTTTGTAGATTCCATCTGCGGAGTTCACAGCTTTGCCTCTGCTCCTGAACTTGTGACCAGGAATCTTTGGCTCTCTTTCTGGTGCCCAAAAAAGATCTATCCAAGGAGTGAGGGGCAGGACACAGAAATGACAATCTCAAGTTATTTAGAGGAAAAAGAAGAAAGGTTTCTTAAGGAGTGTAGGTTAGTATTAGGAAGCAGAGTCTGGAGCCAGGCATGTCACTCAGTGGTGAAGCACACACCAGCAGGTAGAGGTCCTGGGTTCAATCTCCACGGAGTCAAAGAGTAAAGTAAATAAGGAAGCAGAGAGTGACTGAAGACAGAGAGGAGAAGGGCATGTTCTGCCGTCATCATCAACTGTACTACAACAGATTCTAACTGAGCTCACGGGCTCTCCTTGTTCTTCCTGTCACTGACAGTGAGGACACAAAGGGTATGGGTGGGAGCAGCCTTCACCTGTGCATCAGATGACAGTGGGATCCACTTCACATTCATATAGCTATGCAGCAGATGTAATTTGACCTCCAGGGACAGAATTATACTGTGAAAAGGAGGGAAGAAAATTAAACAGCTATTACTTCAAAGGCAAGCAGTCCTTTGGAAAGGACTCAACAGTGTCCAGATACCAGACAGCAGTCATTGTCACTGCTGTGACATCATTTGGCAGATTCTGACAATCAAGTGAGGACTATAGCTTTTGGTTTTCCTTTTGTTTTAACGGAAGGGACTCATGTAGTCTGGGCTGGCCTTGAACTTGCAGTGATTCCCCTGCCTCAACCTCCTGAGTGCCATGTGGGATATGGCCCACCCACAATGCTCAGTTCTAAGAACTTTTTTTTTTTAAGTACTAGACTTGGGGGCTGGAGAGATGGCTCAGCAGTTAAGACTGCCTGATCTTCCAAAGGTTCTGAGTTCAATTCCCAGCAACCACATGGTGGCTCACAACCATCTGTAATGAGATCTGGTGCCCTCTTCTGGCCTGCAGGCAGAATACTGAGAATACTGTACACAGAATAAATAAATAAATCTTTTAAAAAAAATAAAGTACTAGAAATTAAAATCAAACCCTCCCAGGCAGCTCCCAAAGGGAGGCACTGGGTAAGATGTAAGGGACCTGTGTTTACAGCCACATCTCTGCAGGTGTGGAGGGAAGTGGGAAAAGATGCTACCAGACCACAAGGAGGCAGCTTTGAGAAGCAGATGAGAAAGAACACATCTTCCTTGCTATCTAAACACCAAAAAGAAATTTAGGAGCAGACTATTTTGGCCACTTGTTTAAAATTCCTCTGCTTTGGCTTAGAATCAAAAGGAATTAGCTGGGCAGTGGTGGCACCTGCCTTAAACCCAGCACTTGGGAGGCAGAGGCAGGCGGATCTCTGTGGGTTTGAGGCCAGCCTGGTCTACAGAGCTAGTTCCAGGACAGGTTCCAAAGCTACAGAGAAACCCTGTCTCAAAAAACCGAAGTGGGGAGGAGAATCAAATGGAATTTGGGTGTCTTGCCTTTCTGAGCACTGTTTGAGGATTCTGGGATGTATCAGCAGGAACATCTGTCCTGCTCTAAGAAAAGGAAGAAGAAGCAGCTGCAAAAGCCCAGTGAACCAATGCCCGGCATGCCTTCCGTCTTCTCTCCCCCTTCCAGTAAGCCCAGACCAAGGATGTGACTGTCCTAGCGTTGTACATGGCCACTGCACGTGGAAGAAAGCGCAGCTACAATGCACACGGAAAGGCTAAACTCGCCTCACCTGGCCAATCGGACATTGTCATTGTCATCTTTGCCCCACTCCCAGCCTTTTCCTGGGTCCACAGCAAAGTGCAGGGGCAGCAGCTTATGCTCTGAATCTGTGAGCGGGATCACAGCTGGGGAGGGAAAAACACATGTCAAGAAGTCTTTCTGGGAAGCACAGAAGGCAAATGAACACGCATTGACTTCACTGACTCATATGTAGGCCTGTGACAGACTGTATTTCATCCACCCTCAACCCTTAGAAGTGAAGTACATTCCCCTCACCGAAGGACTTCCCCTCACCACTCAGTACACAATTTAGCCTATTAATCTCCTGGACTTCTGCCAGAGCACCAGACTACTTTCTGCAGACAGGTGCAGCAATGTAGGCCTTAGAACAGACCTTTACTCCAGAACAGGGACAGACACACCTTTTCACCAAACCACCCCCACTTTTTAAAGCTAAAAACTCTTGGCAATATTGTATAGCTTGGTTTAAAAAACAAAAGCTGGCACTGTCTGGACTTGTTTCCTCCTTCTTAGCTACTATTTTCACTTTTGAGTAAAAATAACACAGAGCAAAACCAAGACAGAACCGGACCCTCACCTTGTTCCTTGGCACTGTCCTTCTGCTCCATCGACACAAGTGCAGAAAAATGGGCCTGGTCATAGGCGAGCACCAGAGGAGATCGGTGACACTGGCTGGCTGGGACCTCCAAGGGGAGATAGATCCCTCCAAATGGAATAGGGGCAAATGCTGCAGGAAACCACAGAGGTTGTCACTAAGGTTAGGCCCTTGTGCAGTTGTCTCTCTACCCCACTTCCTGTGTGTCTGTGTGGGGGCATGCACACAACTGTAGTGAATGCTAGGTCCCCTGGAGATGCCCAACGTGGGTCCCCACAAGCAGTTCAAGCTCGTAACTGTGGAGTCATCTCTCTAGTCCCTCAATCCCATATTTGAATTGAGCACCCATCCCAATCCCAACAGCTTTCATTTGAATCTCTTAAGGATTTTCCACTATTTTAAGCCCCCACCCACCCCAAAGGTCTGAATATCTCCTTGTCTGTCTTTCTGTTCTGTCCAGCCAAAGTCTCTGTAAACGGGACAGTCTGGAGGCAGAATGACAGGACTGGCCGGATGACTCACCTTCCCCGCCGGAGTCCCTCAGCATGGTGTCTGCCACGACCACTATAGGCCTCTTGAGCACATGAGCAAGAACAAAGACATGGAATTCCTCTAGGCTCTCATATACTGGCTCCTCTGAACTCTCCACTCTACAGTTACAGGAGATGAGAATGGAGGAGGCACAGCAGAAGGGAGAAGAAGAAACAAGAGTCGTGAGACCAGCTCCAAAAGAGGGGAAGGAATGCCCTGCAGATTATGTTGGGGCACATGGTTGAATCTACTCCCACTTTACCAATCAGGAAGTCCAAGAAAAAGGCATGGGGTTCAAATGGTGTTACCAGTCTGGAAGTAAGGGGCTGGTGACAAGGATAAAGGAGCTTGCCATAATGCCTAACGACCTAATTCAATCTCTGAGACTCACACTGCAGACAGTGGAAAGTGCTGGCCCCTGGTACCATGTTCTGACCTCTGTGCTGTGATGCACGTAAGCACTCACCACTCCTCCACCCACGCACACACATACAAAATAAATAAACATTCAACAATCTGGAAGTGATCCCCATCTCTTAATACTCACCCTTAATATTCAACTCCCATGTCTCTCTATCCAAGATCCAGTACATAAACTCACAGCTCCATCCTGCTTTCCTGACCACCACAATCCACACAGCAGACACGTCATAGGAGAGACCTCCATCTACTCGGCAGCTTAACTAAAGTTTATAAAATGTGTTCTTGTTATTACTTAGCTTCACCTATTCACTGGCTGGATCAACTCCATCTCCTGTGTGGCTCTTGCAGCTCCTGCATGTCTACCTACCATTGTATTCCCACACTCCTGGCCTGGAGTATTGCAAACACTTACCCACCACCACTGGTTCCATTGGTACCTAGATGCATTCTGGGTTCACTTGAGGCAAGCTTGATCAACTCATTCCATTCCTTCTGCCATTCATCTTCAGTATACACCAGTCCTGACTATGAAAGAAATCGTACAGTAATGAAGGCACACCGGGCAAGCAGAGGTTAGGTTCGAAAGGCAATAGCCATCCCAACCCTCCCAGCGTGACATCCACTCTCTATTCTCTGAGCACTTGGTTTACACTTACACAGAGGCAAATTTCTTCTCCTTTTCAGAGTCAAGACCCATAAAATCGGTTGGCTGGTTTTGAGACAAGGTCTCACTGTATAGTTCTGGCTGTCCTGGAACTCCCTATGTAGACCAAGCTGGCCTGCCTCGGCCTCTGCAATGCTGGGACTATAGGCACGTCACCATGCCCTATCTCATTTCTTTCTGAAACAGAATCTTTTGTATTGTCATTGAATTAGCTGTATATTGAGGCTGGCCTTACAATTCTGGTCCTCCTGCACCTGTCTCCCAAATGCTGGGATTAGAGGCACATGCTGCCATGTCTAGTAATCTCACATTTCTTAATCTTCTGTTCCTTTCTCACATGTTGCGATCTGACTCCTAGTTCTGCTCTCTCTGCTACTACCCTGTCCACACAAGGTACATCACCTGGCTGACTAAACTGACAGTCAGTGGACTCTGGCTCTCTTTTCAGTCTCTGAGTACTTTCCTCTTTGAGTGTTCTAGTTTAGCTTCCACACCACTGCCTTCTCTTATTCTCTGAACTCTCCTTACCACAAAACTGGGGTTTGGGTAACCATTTGAGCCTTGCTTTCCTCTGATGACTCCACTTAGGTGCTCAGGACTCCAGAGTCAGCCCTCTCCCAAATCCTTTTCATTTTTTGTTCTATACCTGTCTACAAAAAAAATGCAACCTATCCAAAGCAACTTTAAATTCTATTATTTTAGAATTTAAATTAAAGTCCTGTCTCCTCACATACTCATTCTTCTTCCGATATTTCTTTTATTTTTTTTAAATGATTTAACTTTATTTTACATGCATTGGTGTGAAGGTGTCAGATCTCGTGGAACTGCATTTTCAGACAGTTGTGAGCTGCCATGTGGGTGCTGGGAATTGAACCCAGGTCCTCTGGAAGAGCAGTCAGTGCTCTTAGCGGCTGAGCCATCTTCTCCAGCCCTTCTTCCGATATTTCTACCTATTGAACAGTACCAACTATCACCCAGATACCCAGACTAAGACCCAGAGAGTAGGCTGAGGTTCCTCTTCCTTCACTCACCTCACACCTGCATGCCTCTGTCAACACTTACTAAGCACGCCGTGCAATGCGGCGCTCTCTGCTTTTCTGAATTCTTCAGATCCATTCTTATTAGGCTACTGCATTTCCCCCCAGTGATCAAAATCTAATGCCTTGTTTCCTGAGAAGACATTCTAAGAATCTTTACTGCCCGTGGTATACAAAGCCTACCTCCTGTACCTGCCCCTTCTCTGCACGGGTCTTCTGTTGCATGAAGTCTAATTGGTCTTAATAATCAAAACCCAGAGTCAGATATGGGGCAAATGTTGAAAGATCAGAGAAACAAAGGAGCAAACCACAGCCAACACTTCCTTTGCTAACTCCTCAGCCAAAAAAGGCCAAGCTCCTGTCCCCTCCCACCTTATACTTCTCTCTCTGTCCAGCCATAACACTTCCTGTCTGTCTGTACAGACCTCCAGACCTCTGTAGTTAACTAGTGGCTAGCGTTGTCCTCTGATCTTCAAGCAAGTTTTATTTGTTAGCGCACAAACAAAATATCACCATATTTCCCCTTTTTGTCTAAAATAAAAAGGTTATAACTAATATAAGAAAAACTATATACAATAAGTATAATAACTATATACAATATATACAGGCAATAACAACAATGTCTGATCCATTAGCAATTGACAAATTGAGAGAAAATACTCCATAACTATCCTATCTTGGTGAGTCCAAACGGTTGTACTTAATTCACTATCTATCCTAACTTGTATTACCAACCCAGTTATCTTTTTATATCTTTCAACCTTATATACTTAACACCTCATTTGTAAGTTTCTTTTCTGAATTTGTTAACAAGGAAAACTATATTTGTTGTACCAACGTGGAATTCTCAAGTTTCCACATAAGACCTGAGAAAGCTTGGGGGGGGGGGGGGTTTGAAACGCATAGACTTTGTGTCTCTCATGCAGGCAGGCCATGATGCAGAGACAGCACAGCATTCAGGCTGGAACACAGCATGGCAGATTCCCACCACAGTACACAAAGGTGTCTCCAAGCCACGGAGAGCACTGCATGGTGAAATTAGCTTTTACTCATACAGACAAAATGTTTATGGCCAGCATGCTACAGGCTGCCTGATGGTGGCATGGACCTGCTGCTTCCCACGGGCAGTGACCATGGCTCCCAGAACTGGTGGTGACCTTACCTCCGCCATGTTGGAAAGCCAATAGGGCAGAGCCAACAGTCTAAGCTGTCATGTTGATCCTAGCCATGCCTGCTTAGTATTTTAAAAATTCTCCAGGTAGAAAATGATTACAGATACACAATAAAAACAGATTCAGGGAAAGAAAGAAAAAAAAAGAAAAAAAACCCTCTAAATAGGTCACAACATGTTTAAACAATGTACACAGGCTTAAGAAAGAAAGAAAATGGGGACAGTTATAATTTTAAAAAATAAAATTAAAAGCCGGGTGGTGGTGGCGCATGCCTTTAATCCCAGCACTCGGGAGGCAGAGGCAGGCGGATCTCTGTGAGTTCGAGGCCAGCCTGGTCTACAAGAGCTAGTTCTAGGACAGGCTCCAAAGCCACAGAGAAACCCTGTCTCGAAAAAAAATAAAATAAAACAAAAAAATAAAATTAAAGTCTTTAAAGAGACAGTAAAAAATAATATAAAGAAAAATAAACCACATAAAGATGGAAAATCACCAAGCAGCGGAGCTTCAATCAGCTCAGAGACTGAACCCGGATGGCCATATATTTCCATGGGTGATGAACTCTGCTCTGTCAGCACTGTCTGGTCAGAGATGCCGTTTCTGATGTTGCCACATGTTGTTGTCTCTCGAATTTAAAAGAAAATCTTTGAGTTCAGTACACCAAAAAAAAAAAAAAAAAAGATGGAAAATCACAGAGGATCTGGATTATGTATACTATTACATTTTATTTGAAATTTTGGCTGTTAATGAGCTAACTACAGAGAGACATTTGATTGTGGGGGCTGCTAAGCTAAAGCAACATGCAGATATCTTGACTTCAAAATATGGGAAAAGACGTTGTGCTTTTGTTTCCACAGGTGACAAGAGGCTGTGGATTTCTTTCAAGTTATCATGGTTTGATTGAGCAAGACCTCCCAAGAGGTCTCCAATGGGAGTGATGGCCCAGGTGATCCAATATCCAAAACAGTTTCCAAGCTGCTGGCTGAGATGGACCAACCACACAAAATACCCCAGTCAGGGTATTCTAAATTTTCTCAAGTATCCCATGAGATTACCAACACCCCCAATCAGCCAGAAGTAGTATAAAAAACTACGCCTAAATTCCCAAAATGTTATTTATGAGTTTGTTTTCATTTAAAGGGGGTTGGTTATTAACGATCATAGTCAATCTCTTTCTAGAGAAAAAAAGGAGGATATGATATGAAAACAATTTTTAAAAAGGTAGATTATTAAATCTACTTTAATACAAAAACAACTGTTAATCTCAAAATACTTTACATTGGTATATATTTTGGTTTACTGGTATAAATTTAAGGTCAATTTTCTTTATTTCTACATGTATATTTCTATTCTCGTTTAAAGTATTATGTTTATGTAGTTCATTTAAAATATAATGTATAGGTAAAAAATACAAATGAATAGTCATCTATCATAGTCAAACGTCACATTAGTCAGGTTTTCTAGAGATGGAGAGATAGGTAATCTTCAAACACTTCAAAGACCTATAGAATATGGCATTTAAAATGTTTTAATAAACTTAGAATTCTTAGGATGTGAAACATCTGTTCCTTATGGAGTTTGCTTTCAATGTGGTGAGACAAGACATTTGGGCAAGAAACTGCTCTTTAGCCGGGCGGTGGTGGCGCACGCCTTTAATCCCAGCACTCGGGAGGCAGAGGCAGGCGGATCTCTGTGAGTTCGAGACCAGCCTGGTCTACAAGAGCTAGTTCCAGGAGAGGCTCCAAAACCACAGAGAAACCCTGTCTCGAAAAACCAAAAAAAAAAAAAAAAAAAAGAAACTGCTCTTTACTGGACTGTTTAACAAGATGCTATATAAATTGAACATGCAGGACCCATAGGAAAATGACTGCTGAACTTGCCAAGACAAGGTGGGACAGTCCTTCAGGGTTCCTGCTTCATAAAAGAGTCTGCCAGACATTCTACAAGACACAGAAGAAAGTGACTGATGAATTTTGCAAAAATAAGCAGGACAGTCCTTCAAATTTCCTGCTTCACTGAGAAATCTGCCAGATACTCGAGGCCTATAGGCTGAAGATGGAGGCCCCAACATTGCAGAAGAACTTTGGACAACTGTCCATGAAGTCAGATATCTCTGTCATTTCTAGAGTTTTGGAAAATGCTTACAATGCACTTCCTGTTTGATTAGGTAATATTAGATCCTTCTGGGGTCTTTGATTGAGTTGAAGACTAAACAGTTATAATTACAGTTTTCCTTGGTTAAGATAAAAGATAAATATAAAACTTTAGACTCACAAAGATAAAACAGATGATGGAGTATTTAATTTTGTCAAATACAAATAGACTAAATATTTTAACTGCAATTCTTGCTTGATAACTGTTTTGTTATATGTAATTTTACTATATTAAAGTTAAAACCTTCCTTTTTAATTAGATAGAAAAGGGAGATGATATGGGATGCCCCTCTGTATATTGTGAATATGTTTTATTTTATTACCACTGGTTAATAAAGAAGCTGCTCTGGCCTATGGCAGAGGAGAATATAGGTAGGCAGGAAATCCAAGCAGAGAGAGAGGGAGAAAGAAGATGGAGTCAGAGAGATGCCAGCAGTTGCTGGAGGAGTAAGATGCCAAAACATTATTAGTAAGCCACGGGGCAGGTAGCAATACACAGATTACTAGAAATGGGTTAATTTTTATGTAGAGCTAGTCAGTAAGAAGCCTGAGCCATTGGCCAATTATAATTACTATTAAGCCTCAGAATGATTATTTCCTAAGTGGCTGTGGGGATCAGTCCAGAGGGACTGGGTAGAGACAGTCTCCAGCTACAGGCTCCCCTCTATCAGGGCTGCTCCTGAAGAGCACTGCTTCCCACTCTGATTGTTTACCATAGGTATTCCTCCTGCCTGTAATGACCACTTCCAGTGTGCCTGGTGAACAATTCTTCACCCTTCATAGCAAAGCTCTCCTCTGAGTCTTCCCCAGGACAGTCCCTCCTTCCTGTGGATCTCTCCTCACCTGTTCTACAGAACTCTATTAGAGACACCATGTCTGAGTCAGGTGTAGTGGCGCACACCTCCACCTGCAGGAAGAAGAGACAGGCAGATCCCTGAGGGTGCCAAACCAACTGAGGCTACCAGTGAGACTGAAAAATCAACAGGAAACAAGACACTACACTATGTCTCTTTTGCTCTATATCTTTAAATGTCCATTTTATTCTAGTGCTCTACAAGAAAGAATCATGTTTTATGCAACACGGCCCAGGGCCTATTATATGATCAATAATCAATAAATCCATGCTAAGTGAAGTTATAATTTTTATTAAAGGATTATGTATAGCAATACAAATAATTTGCTTTGTTTTCTTGCTTTTGAACAAGGTCTCACTGGGTAACTCACAGCAAACCTCCTGACAGACATGCCTCAACATCTAGCCAAATGACTTTAAGATATATTGGCTTTAGGGGTTGGGAATGCAGCTTAGGTGGCAGAGTGCTTGCCTAGCATTAACGAAGCCCTGATTTTTATTTGCAGTATCAAACTGGGTATAGTGGTATACTCCAATAATTATGGACAATCCTGGCACTCAGAGGATGATGAGAAGTTTAAGGTCATTCTCAGCTACAAAGTAAGTTGGAGGCCAGACTGGGCTAATTGAGACTCCGTATTGATGAGAGAGAGAGAGAGAGAGAGAGAGAGAGAGAGAGAGAGAGAGAGAGAAACAGAAGAAAAGGTTTTAGGACACGTGATGATTTGATTTTGAGAGATTAAGTTTATCTTATCAGTATATTTTGTTTCGCATTAAAACTGAATTTCACCAGATGAATCTAAAATGGCTGAAAGAAACTTAAGGAAATGCTCAACATCCTCAGCCAGAGAAATGCAGATTAAAAGAACTCTTAAATCCCATCTTACACCTGTAAGAATGGCCAAGATCAAAAACACTGATGACAATTTATGCTGGAGAGGATGGGGACAAAAGGAACACTCCTGCATTGCTGGTGGGAGTGTAAGCTGGTACAGCCCCTTTGGATGTCAGTGTGGCAATTTCTCAGAAAATTAGAAAACAACTTACTTCAAGACCCAGAAATACTACTTTTGGGTATATACCCAAAGGATGCTCAATTGTGCCACAAGGACATGTGCTCAACTATGTTCATAGCAGCATTATTTGTCATAGCCAGAACCTAGAAACCACCTAAATGCCCTTCGACCAAAGAATGAATAAGGAAAATGTGGTACATTTACACAATGGAGTACTACACAGTGGGGAAAAATAATGACATCTTGAAATTTGTGGGCAAATGGATGGATCTAGAAAACATTGTATTGTGTGAGGTAACCCAGACGCAGAAAAGGCAAATATCATATGTACTCACTCATAAGTGGCTTTTAGACATAAAGCAAAGAAAAACCAGCCTACAATCCACAATCCCAGAGAAGCTAGACCACAAATAGGACCCTAAGAGGGAGACATACATGGATCTAATCTACATGGGAAGTAGAAAAAGACAAGATCTCCTGAGTAAATTGGGAACCATGGGAGAGGGTAAGAGGAGAGTGGGGAGGAAAGCGGAGAAAAGTATATAGCTCAATAAAAACAATTAAAAAGATAAAATAAAATAAAATAAAGAGAAAAAACTGAGTTCACTGCTCAGCTACATCCTGACAGCACATATGCGGCCACCGTGGGCACATGAGCAGCACCAGAACAAATGGAATGAGGGCTAGAGCTATGCTGACAATACTTTAATAAAAATGCAAAGTAATTTGCAAACTGTAAAATACTACCACAGACTTCAGATGAAAATAAAGAGGACAATACAGAAGTTATATATGGAATGCTCATGCCATTTTCATACACATCCAGGAGGACCTGCTCTGATTCCTCCTCTCCCTATCACCTAGTTCTGCTGGTTCTGGGCTTTCTGAGACAGGCTTTCTCTGTAGCCCTGGCTATCCTGGAACTCACCCTGTAGACCAGGCTGGCCTCTGCCTCCTGAGTGCTGGTATCAAAGATGTGCGCCACCATTGTCTGGCTTTTCTTTTTTAAAATATTAATTATTAGCCGGGCGGTGGTGGCGCACGCCTTTAATCCCAGCACTCGGGAGGCAGAGGCAGGCGGATCTCTGGGAGTTCGAGGCCAGCCTGGTCTACAAGAGCTAGTTCCGGGATGGGCACCAAAGCTACAGAGAAACCCTGTTTCGAAAAACCAAAATATATATATATATATTAATATATATATATATATTAATTATTTTATGCATGTACTTTGCCTGCATGTATGTACGTGCACCACATGCTTGTTGGTGATCAGTGAGGTCAGAGGAGGGCACTGTTTCCCTGGAACTGGAGTTATGGACAGCTGTGAGTCAGCAGAGCTCTTCCACAAGAGCAAGTGCCCTTAACAGCTGAGCTCCTCTCCAGCCCCTAGGCTTCCTGTTTCAATACACACAGCCACTAGGTGGCAGACGCTTCCAACAAGTTTTACCATCAATTTCAACACAATATAAGAAGAAACAGGAAATAATGAGTATCTTAAAACTCAAGTATCTCAGGTCATCTCCTTCCTGCTCTCAAGGTAAGGGATAAAGTCATCAAAGTTCAAGCAAGACAATCATGAATGACACATTTCCAGTGGGAGACTTTCGTTATGCCACCAAAGTATGAATAAAAGGATTGCTCCTTCACTAGCCTCTAGTCTATGCACACATGCCCCAAAATGAAGAGCAGAAAACATAGAAAGGAACTTAGCTACTTCTGCTTCTCCTGAATAAACAGTTCCAGAATCTAACTCTATCTTTAAAGTAACTATAATAGGTTTAATAGTCATAATTGAGATCTACACAGCAAGTTCCAGGACAGCCAGGGTTGTTAAATAGAGAATCCCTGTCTCAAAAAACAAAACAAAAATCCAACATTAATTTCTTATATAAAAGTAATCACAATATCAGCCAAATCTCTGAACAGTAATATTTAAATTCAACTTAACAAGTATCTTTTTACATGTTTTAATCAAACCAAAGCTAAGTATATGAAGAACAAAGTTGTAGACTATTAAAAACATTCAAGCATTTACACAAGAATTAAAAACATGGGTGGCAAGCAGTTAAGGGTACTTGCTACCAACCCTGAAAACCTGTTCAATCTCCAGACCCCACACTGTGGGAGCAATTTGTTTCATACAAGTTGTCTTCTGACTTCCACATGTGTGGCATGGCATGCACACATTCACATATAATAAACATTTTTTTTTCTTTTTAGTTTAGTTTTTCGAGACAGGGTTTCTCTGTAGCTTTGGAGCCTGTCCTGGCACTAGCTCTTGTAGACCAGGCTGGCCTCGAACTCACAGAGATCCGCCTGCCTCTGCCTCCCGAGTGCTGGGATTAAAGGCGTGCGCCACCACCGCCCGGCATTTTTTTTTTTTTTTAAGAATTAAGAAGAAGCTGAAAATAGTGATTTACCCATATCCTAGCAATTGGGAAGCTGAGGGAGAAGAACTGCTGCAAATTCAATGCCAGCCTGGACTAAGTAGTGAGTCTCAGGCTAGCCTGGGTTACCAGAGTAAGAGCCTGGCTAAGGAGAAAAGGGAAGAGGAAAGAGGGGGGAAGAAGGAGAAGTGTGAGAAGGGAAGAACAGGAGGTGAAGGAAGAGAGGGGAGGGAAAAGGAAGGGAAAAGAAGAAGGATTCAAAATTAATCTAGGGCAGGTGAGATAACTCCGTAGATAGAGGCACTTACCACCAAGCTTAATTATTTGAGTTTTGATCCCTGGAATCCACACAGTGGAAGGAGAGAACCAACTCCCACAAGTTGTCCTCTGACCTCCACATACACATTGTAGTAATGTATGCAGCCCCCCAACAAATGGATGGATGGATGGATGGATAATCTAGCCTAATAATACAAAATGAAGTACAAAAATCCTATGAAATTGAAGCCAGGTGGTGGTGGAACACGCCTTTAATCCCAGCACTCAGGAGGCAGAGGCAGGAAGATCTCTGTGAGTTTGAGGCCAGCCTGGTCTACAAGAGCTAGTTCCAACACAGGCTCCAAAGCTACAGAGAAACCCTGTCTCAAAAAAAAATCCTATGAAATTATCATAGTGCATTAAAACAACAAAGCAAAACAAAAACCCTTCCACTAAGAACTACTGAGTATCTGTAAAAGGCACAATGTTAGAAACCACAGGTTTCTCTCGCAGGTACAGGCCTCGATTAGCTGATCTTAGTAGATAAGAAGGCACTTGTCCTGTGGCATTTCCTGCATTTTCTGTGAGTTTCAGAAGTACACAGGAAGACACAATCCAGCACTAGGAGACTTTGGAAACAGGGTTCTCCCACCCAAGCTCACCCACCTCTTTATTCTGCTGTGTTTGCTGCCACCTCCAGCGTCTTCTCAATGCTTCCTTCTCGATACCCTTCTCCATTAGTGCATACAAAGCTTTCCTCAGCACCAAGTCTCTATCATGGAAACCCCACATCCCTGTGGGGAGAAAGCAAGGCACAGGACACTGTATTAATTCAGCTCCACTTACTAATCCAGCCTTTGTTTTGTGATGACAGGGATCAAACCCAGGGCCTCAAAAAAGGACGGGGAGGATAGAATACATTCCCCAAACTCCTGAAAGGAAGCCCTTACTCCTCAGCAAATCTAACAAACCAAACACAACAGCCAGTAAGACTGGTATGGCACCACGACTATCAGTATCAGAGCTCATGAAAGAGCTAGAAAATGGGGACCCCTTCCAAAGCTAAGAACAAATATACGGAGTTGTGAGTCCAAAGTCAATGTCACAAGAACCAAGTAGAAGAATAATCAAGTATAATGTTGCCACTACACATGTATATAACCACACAAACTTTGCTTACTATGCTCATTACTCCTAGAGCTCAGCTCAGAATGGAGCCTAAACCAGCCCTGTGCTTGTCTATCTCTAAGGACAACAAGCCAAGTCAAGGCTTGCCCATCTCTCTAAGTCTGCTGTGAGGCCTCACTTGACCTGAGATGAAATCCTACACGTGATGTTTGGCTCAACTGCTTTCTCTCTACAGGGGAGGGAAGACCATTTTTAAGACTCACCAAGAGAGGCTGCATGCAGGAGGCAGTTCCCATCTCCAGTAGTTGCTAAAGGAAGCAGCCTCTGACAGGTGGAGTCCACACTGACCCACCAATTCAAACGCCCTACAGACATGACAGTAGGAGAAAAGGAGAGAAGTGGATTAAGAAGACAGCCCGGAATAAAACTACTCTTTTTCCCCTTGAGATGGGTGTCTTGTTACACATGACCCTTCTGCCTAAGCCTCCCAATAGAGATACTGCATGCTCTGTATTACTGTTGTTGTTATTATTTATTATTATGATTTTGAAACATGATCTCATGAAACATGACGGGCCTTGAACTACTGATATATCTGCCTCTGCATCCTTAGTGCTGAGATTATAGGAACACAACATTAAGTCCAGACTCTGTGACTCTCTATATAGTCTTTCTTACAGTTAGAATGTATAGGGATGACTGGTTAGATCAGTGGTCTTAAGGAAGGACTGTTTTGTCTCATGGGATCATTAGCCAATGTATGAAGATATGTCTGTTTGTCACAATTGGTAGAGAGGTACATACTTCTGGTATCTAGCACACAGAGACCAGAGAGAACATTATATTATAAACATAAAATAATGCTAAAGGTAGCATGTACAATAAAGAATTAATCTGGCACCAAAAGTCAATATTGCTCAGACTAAAACTGTTAGCTACTTTGTTTGAATCCTTCACTCTGGCAAAAAGACTGGTAAATACACTGGAAGCAAAGCTCAACTTAACTGAATCATAAACAAAAGAAAAACTATGTATGGTATATGTCTGTATCATTCAGCACTCTGCAGGTATGCAGTGTGACATTAAAGTTATAATCAAAAAGAAAAAGTACATAAAGCATCCAAGTAAATCAGACTCAACTGTGAATGGCAATCTCACAATTGCCAAGTCAGGCCTTACAGGAGGGAGCTAGTTTACAAACGACCCTTAAAATTGTGTTTCCTTGAGCAATTAAAAGTTTACAAAAGGTAAAACGGCTTATAATTTCACTAGATAACTTGCTAGCTTCTGAAGAGAGTTAAAGTTAAGATAGATGGATATGAAATGAAAAAACTCCCTTTCCATGTCCCCACTTCCAACCTCCAATTTTCCTTCCATTAGAACTGAAAATCTTTTTTAATATTTAAGTTACGTGTATGAGTGTTTTATCTGCATGTATGTCTATGTCCCACAAGAATGCCTGGTGCCCTCAGAGGTCAGAAGAGGGCACTGGCTCTCCTGCAAGTAGAGTTATAGACAACTTCAGGCTTACATGTGAGTACTGAAACAAAACCTGTGTCCCTGAAAGAACAGATTCTGAGCCATATCTCTAGCCCCCTTGGGGATTTTTTTTTCCATTTTTGAGAAGGGTCTCAATAGGTAGTGATAGCTAGCCTGGAGCTTGCTGTGTAGACCAGGTAGATCAGATGGGCCTCTTCTGTCTCTAGAATGCTGAGATTAAATAAAAGAACACACCACTAAGCCTGGCCTTTTTCAATTTCCACAACTACCATGAGGATATTCTAACACGTAAGTTCTTCCCAGAACCGCCAACTACCATACTGTTTTACAGTAGCTAATTTTTTAAAAATTACACTTAGCGTGTGAGTGTGTAAGCAATGGCACATGTGTGCATGTCACAGCACCTGTGTGGAAGTGAGAGGACAACCGGTGGGAGTCAGTTTTCTTCTTCACAGTGTGAGTCCCAAGGATCAAAAGTAAGTCATCAAGCCTTGGTGGCAGATGTCTTTATCCACTGAGCTATCTTGCTGACTCAAACTAATTTTAATGCTAATTTAAAATGAACTCAATTGTAAAGGTAAATAAATGTAAATAAAAGTCATAGATGTGACTCTCAGTGCATCATCTATAGCCTTGGTCCTCTGTGTTTGCAAAGGTGCTCCATGGCCAATTATAATCAGTCATATTTGTTCATGTGTTGATTTGGGGGCATCAATTACTAAACCCTTCACATATATATCTGGTTTCCCTTCTATTAAATAGGAACTTTCCAAAGTATCTAATGTTTATTCCTGCCCCTCACCACACACCTGGCTAATTTTCATTCATTATCTCAGGACACGTATCTGACTGACCCCTATCTGTGACAGCTATCAGATAACACACTTAAAAAAGAGGTTGCTGAGGAAGACTGGCCCCTTTCTGTGGCTGCAGGCAGAGACTAGAGGAGGCATCGCTGAAGAGGAAACACCCACTGACCTGCCTGTTCCAAGGCGACCAGCATGGACTGTTCAATGAGATCCCTCTCTATGAAGCTTCGGAAGTCTTCTTTGTACACAGTGAGATCTGGAAGCTGGAAGGCACAGATGGGCATTTCCAGGGGGTGCTCACTGCTCCCCCCACCCCCACCATTGGAGGAGACATGGGACCGGGCCAGGGAAACAATGCTGGAACTGGCGTGGGAGATGCCCCTAGACAGGCGTTTTTCTGCAATGAGAAATGGAGTCACCTTAGAATATATGCAACCCATTTTGAGAACTCTCCACAGATGAAGGAGGTAAGAGCACTTGACCGTTTCCAGTCAAGGAAAAACTACCTAACCAGCTACTTCTGAACCTCATGGTATTTCTTTTCTTAAGCCAAATACAAAGGGGAGAATATACAAAATGGTATTTTTGTAGATACTTAGAGTAGTACAAAAACACATTCACCTAACCTTGTTGAGGTTTCCCTGACTTTCCTTTTCCTATGACCTCATCTTTGACTCCCATTTTTCAACATGAGTGTGAGTCATTCACTTAGCAACTAGGTCATTTTTCTAGTGGGAAGAAGAACAAGTAAGAGAAATGGGCTTTCATTTGGTTGGATTTAGCCAAATAATGACTCTAGTAAATCCTACATCTTAGAGGATGTAGAAAAGATTTCCATTATAGAAAAGAAAGTGACAGTGTCATCACCAACATCTATATTATTTACTATAACTTTTATTAGTATTCATATTTATCATAAATTTACAGAGACAGTCAAATTTTAATATGCCAGAGAGCAAAACAGTAATGTAAACTGCATCCCCAAATCATTTCATATGTTTTAAGTACATGGCACCTGCAATGCCCCAGCCCATGTGACATTATGAGCAAAATGTGTCAGTATAATATTATGTATTTGCACAGCTTGAAGTACATGGGTGATTATCACAGGGGATGGGAGCTCTAATGCTATGCAGTTGTTGATGTGAAGCAAGCAAGAACTGTCTCAGCCCATTGTATAGCTAGCTACAAATTACCAGCTGAATTTGGTGGGAAGAGAGTTAAGGAATGAAAACACCTTTAAAGGAGCACACAAACTCTTCCTAATCCACATGCAAAAGCTTTGTCCTCAGTTCAAGCAATACCTTGAACGATGTCATCCTGTCTCTGTAGGATTGGTCGAGAAGGGCGAGTGGGTTCTCTATCAGAACACCCTTTTTCAGGGGTCTTAGAACAACTACTCCCTCCACTAAAGGGTGGAGACAGGTTCCCAGCATGGACTTGGCGTAGCTGTTCAAAATCACTGAGGGCAGCACTCACATCCCAGTTCTTTCCTAATAGAAAAAAAAAAATACAAAAAAAAAAAAAGAAAAAAAATACCATTTTAGACCCAGAGTATTATGAAACTGGAGAGAGACATAGGAAGACCATTCTAACCACCCTAGCACAACCAAGCAGGCCAAGTATGGCAGCACAAGCTTACAATGCTAGAACTCGAGAGGGTGAGACAGGAGGATCAAAGAATTTAAAGCCAGTCTGGTCTACCTCAGACTCAGTTTAAAAACACCTCATATCAAAAATAAACCTAGTAATGCCAGGCAGTGGTGGCAGATGCCTTTAATCCCAGCACTTGGGAGGCAGAAGCAGGCGGATCTTGGAGTGAGAGGCTAGCCTGGTCTATACAGGACAGCCAAAGCTATACAGAGAAACCCTGTCTCGAAAAAGCAGATAGATAGATAGATAGATAGATAGATAGATAGATAGATAGATAGATAGATTAGGTGATAGATATAGTTATAGATGAACAAACAAATAAATGAGCCAAGTAAGAACATACTAATAATGCACACCACAATTCTATCAACTTTCTTATCCAACTACTTTAATTTTCTTCAATCTGAAGCACTGATTTTCTTTATTGTCTATTTCCTATGTAAACTATATAATGATACTTTGTCTCTAAACTCAAAGGGCTCTTCAGAGACTTAGTCACTAAAATGAAACTCCTTTTACAGATAAATGAGACAGAGCTTACAGAAGTACCATGACTTGTTCAAAGTCACAGTTAGTTTGCACCGGGCTCATTAGCTGAGGTAGATTCTAGGATGTCTGAAAGCCACCTAACGGTGAAACTCTCCAGTGAAGAGTTTCTAGGTATCACAGCACCAAAAGGAGCTGCACTGCTCCTGCTTTACAAACAGCTCTCTATCTCAAAGACTCGATCGCAGTTTTCTGCAGCTAAATTATTTCATACATGTTGGCTGTTTGCACCTGTGCACTCTAGCTGCTGCAGCCTTGGGTTAGCTTCTCACCGAGTACCCTATACCTCCAATCTACCCAAGAAATCCCATGAGATTTGTTTTTCTAAAGCACCGTTCTAACCATTTTAGCTCTATGTTCAAATTCTTTATGTAATGGCTCATCACTAATCCTTTGCCCATTATTTGAGACTTTCTATGACCTCTCCTATTTCCTAGCCTTTTCTCTGTGCTATAATTTACTTATTTATGAAAATGTAGATAATAATACTAGCATGCTGTGTAGCCATTTCTTCCAGGTTGGATATGATCATTGCCATCTGACACCCTCTTCTGGCCTTCTTAGATACTAGGCATGCACATAGTATACATACATGTCAGGCACTCACACACAGACATAAAATAAGACCAATTTTTTTTTAATCCCCCTTAGTAGGTAGATGGTAATGAGATTAATGACGTTCATTAGGTCCCTCCTTTGCTCAAGGATATATAAAAATTTAAGAATTGGTTCAAAGACAGACTTTTTGGTGGTATAGCTGTCCAGTTTTCCACATGCTTGGCATGCTACCCATGCTCCTAAAGTAACCTCAATAAGTTCTGGTTCAGCAGGCTAATTTTGGTTGAGGTAGCTTTTATAATCTGCTCCCTCTATCAGGGATGGATAGAAATATCCTTCCCCAGAAAAAAATCATGCAATGCTGTGCCTGAAGCACAGTGCTGTTCTGAAGGTTAAGCGAGTCGAAAGCACGTACAACAGTATCTTGTATGCAGATTCCCACATGCATTTACTACTGCTGCCACAGTCTCTGTTCTTTTTTTTAAAATATTTATTTATTTACTTATTATGTATACAATATTCTGTCTGCGTGTATACCTGCAGGCCAGAAGAGGACACCAGACCTCATTACAGACACCAGACCTCATTACAGATGGTTGTGAGCCACCATGTGGTTGCCGGGAATTGAACTCAGGACCTTTGGAAGAGCAGGCAATGCTCTTAACCTCTGAGCCATCTCTCCTAACCCATGCTTGCTGACTTAATTCTAATACTCTTCAACTCTCTTTCTTCACTCTTTGTTCTAGTCTCCTCTCGTGTTCTGGTCTCCTTGCTGTTCCTAGATCACACCAAGACTGCTCCCACCAAAGCCTCTCTTGCCTATTCTACTGCATAGAAGACTTTTCTCCAGTGTATCTACATATGTGAATCTTTGTAAACTTCAAGTATCTGTTCAAATATCACATTCTTAGTCAGTCCTACGCTGGCTTCCCAGTTTAAAATCACATGCATTCCATCACTCTGCTCAGTTTCCCAAATGCACTCCATACCCTAGAACATACTTTACAATGTGTATCTCTACCATACTTGTTTACTGTTTATCCTACTGCAACATCAGGATAGGAACTTTGGCACAAGCATCCAAAATAATACCTAGCATCTAGAAGAGACTCAATAAATACTTGCTGAATAAATGGAGAGTATTTTCCCTAAATCGATTCATCTATTAATCTATAGCCTGTTTTAAGAACAGGATCTCCAACTGTCAGGAAAGTACCTTAAAACCATCAGGCCAACACGGAATGCCAACCATCTCCACCCCAAAACACGTGTGCCCTCTCTTCCTCATGTGACCCCTAAATCAGTAATAGAATCACAATCCCTGAAAGTCCCAAGCCTTCAGTTTCAGCTCCTCACACTCTCTTCTCCCTCACTATCGCAGTTAATCCTCAGGGTCTAAATATCTCTCACATCCATTCCTTCTTGTCTATTTTTATTATCTCTGCCCTGACTCAAATCCTCATAATACTTACCTAGTCTTTGGTGTTTTGAAAGGGAGACTCTCTAATAAGACTTTCTAAGTCTCTCTGCTCCTAATCTTTTTTCTAATTTATTCTTTGTACTACAACCAAAGTTAATGTTTTGTTGTTTTGATTTGAGAACAAGGCTAGTCTCAAATTCACAGAGATCCGCCTGCCTTTCCTGAGTGCTGTGATTATGTGAAATTATGCCTCGGAAAGAGTTAACTTTTAAAGAAAAACAGCATGAGAAAGAAGGAGACAACATCAAAGTTCTTTATTTCTTTTCTAAATTGTACCTTTTTAAAAAGTCACTTATTTTTTTATTTTATGTGTATAAATGTTTAGTCTGCATGTATGTGTGTGTATCACATGCTTCCCTGGTGTTCAAGTAAGCCAACTGAAGTTGCATAAAGCTATGAGCCACTATGTGAGTACTGGGAACTGAACTCAGGTTCTCTGTAAGAGCAGCAAATGCTCAACTACTGAATTATCTCTCTAGCCACTAATTTATATTTAAATCCATCAACTTCTCTCCCTCTCACCCACACTGTGGTCTAAGTCACCATTATCTCTCACCTGAACTATGGCAATTCTTAGCTGGTTTTATCATTGGCCACTTCCAATACAATCCTATTGGAATAGCTTGAACACTGAAACTGGAAAAACTATTCTTATTCTATTAAAAACTTCACTTCCAATGAACATAGAAGTCCCTTACTATGGCCAACAAAGGCCCCATATTCTGCTTCTTGTCCACCTAACCAGCTCCCAATCATTCTCTCATCTCTCTCACTATTTCTCTTTACATTACATCCATCTCTCTACTCTTAGGGTTGTCTGTAACTACTTCTCCTGGGTAGGCCTTCCAAACTCTAGAGCTGAACCAGATTTCCATCTTCATTCTCATAGCACGCTCAGCTTTTTTTTTATATATATATAACATGAGTGTTTATAACATATAAGAAGTAATTTGTAACATAATCATTAAGAGACACATTATAAAAAATTGTCAAAGGTTCAAATCCTATGTAGCTTCACTAAACCTCTGTTTCAAAGTTATAGCATGGTAGTTGAGAAAATACATCTTAAGTACCTGGCATATGCTAGGCACACTGCACATTTTATAAGATGATGATTTCATTTTTAATTTTTTTCTTAATTTTGAGTGTGTTGTTGCGCTGCGTGTAGTATATGTGTGTGTGGTGTGTGCATACAAGTGTGTATAGAGGTTAAAGCATGTGTGTGGTATATATGTGTGGTGTGTATATACAAGTGTGTAGAGGCTAGAGCTCAAGATCAAGTGTTTTTACTTATGATTATGATTTTAGTGAGCTAATTTAACTTTCTTCTTGGATTATCTGAATATAAACTCATGAAGAAAGCTCTGAAAACATACAAGGTGAAGGGATTTTGGATTTTAAAACTAGTTGGGCACACCAAGCAGGTAATAAGAAGCAACTTAAATGGAGGTCTATGGTATACAGAATACTTTTCTGATCACCTTAAATATTCCTAGTAAATATCGCATTTTGCTTTCTTTTCTCACTCTCTCCTTACCTTCCAGAAGATCTCGGGCCAGCCCTGGCTCTGCACCTGTAGAACGGACAAAATCCGACAGGACAGCATCCATGTCCAGGGTCATGGGATCATCAGGTTCTCTCAGGCAGCAGGATGTGAGCAGAACATAGATCAAAATCCAGGCTTGAACCTGAAAAGGAGATAATCACACAAGGCTCAAGTAAGTACCTAGAACAACATCATCCCAGCCCAATTCCAACAGGTTTATCTAAATGGGAAACTATTCTGGTTCCTTCATTCTAGTTGAAGTTTGAAATAAAGAAGTTTAAAATTATTTGAAGAATCACACTTAATTTCCTCATTAACAATAATGTCTTATTGCCTACAATAACCACAAACCACTGTGAACAAAGCTTTCTCTCCGCTATTTATTTATTTATTTTATTTGCTTGTTTGAAAGAGGCACTAGGTATTAAACCTAGGGCTTGTATATGCTGCGCAAGTGCTCTATACCCACCCCAGCGTCAAGTCTGCTTCTCCAGTTGAAAGAAAGGAGGCAGTAGAATGCTGCCCAATAAAGCTCCCCAGCCTGCAATGTTTCCTAACATAGCCCCATGTTCATTTCTTTCCTGAAACATATTTATTATTAAGGGTTTTAGTTTATTTTTGGAGACAATGCTTTATTCTGCAGTCTTCTTGCCTCAGCATCTTGAATGCCATCATGCCCTGGGTTTCCTCTGAAGTTAATTTAATCATTCCCTGTCTAACCTCTCTTGATTTTCATACGCCAAGTTTTGGGAAATAGGAAGTTGTGTGTGTTCTTTCCTGATGTATCAGCAGAACAAATCACTTGACACACATGGCACACTGGCCCTTAGCAGACTCTTATTAAACAAATGAGTACTACACAGCAGAGGAGTTCAGGGTTGAATAATATTCCCTTGCTGGCTGAGTAGACAGGAAGTGTAAAGTAAAAACTGAGAACTACTGAAAATAAAACAGCAAACTATTCTACACATCTGAGTAGAGCCCAAAGGCTCATCATAAAAGCAACTTCAGGAGTTCAGGAAACAGGCAGAATCAGAAATGCTTTTCTCCTTCCAGGATAGATGAGTACTAGGTAAGTTTACCTGAAAAAAAAAAATCCTTTCTTTCAGACTTGACTTTAGCAGAAACTATGTCTCTGACCTGACCAACTGGCACCAAGCCAACATTCCTCTGTGGTTAACAGACCCAGTTGAGAAAGCAAAAATAGGATGGAGAACAGCCTCTGACCAAATTCACCAGGTCTAGAGAAGGTGGCTCATTCATAAAGTGCCCAGGTACCCACTGCCCACTACACCCACTAATTCCATCTTTTTGGAAAAGCCAAAACTAGAATTCTTGAAAACAACAGGTGACTCAGACAGAACAGTCTTCCTACACCTAAAGCCTAAGGATGACTCCCAAGCATTTTTTTTTCATCCCGCTTCTGTCCCAGGATACAACTTGTTTAGTGGTATGATCTGATCCCAATTTTCTTCATTCCTTGAATATTGTAAGGCAAATAAGAAATATTTGTGGGTTATAAAAATTCTAACTCTCTAACCTGATAACTCATTGTCTTGGTGGTGGTAGGTAGCTCTTTTGATATTTTTTTTTTTGAGAAAGAGAAACTATTATTTCTTTTAGTGCTCTAACAACACAAGAAGTCAGTGGATACAGGACATGATTTATTTTATCCCAGGCCAACATTTAGCAAGGTATCTACAATATTTCAGGAGTAATAAATACCTGCTGAATAAACTCAATGTAAACAAATGTCTCGTCTTCATCTGCCTCAACATACTAAGCACCAAGTCAACATTCCTCTGAGGTTATTAACCTCCCTCTAACCCAGAACTGCATGAAGAACTTCTGACCAAGCTTTCTAAACAGTGACCCAATCAATCCCCTTGAAGTCTGTGCTTAAGAACTTAACTTCAAGGCAGGCAAGTGGTAATGTCTATAATACCAGCACCCAAGAGGCAGAGGCAGGAGGATTGAGAATTCAAGGCTACAAAGAAAGACCCTATCTCAAAAAATATTAAAAAGTAAATGCTTTCAGAAATCATAGATGAATGAAAGGCTTTTCATCTCCTAGCGCACATGAGAATTCTGTCCAAAGCCCACGGTGTTCAGCACTTTGGTCACAGGACATGGGCACTGCCCAGTAACAACATATAATTAAACAATGCAAAATCAAGAACCTAGCTCCAAAATGAACTTTAATCTCTGTTCTTAAAAGATAAAACAGGAGGGCTGGAGAGATGGCTCAGTGGTTAAGAGCATTGCCTGCTCTTCCAAAGGTCCTGAGTTCAATTCCCAGCAACCACATGGTGGCTCACAACCATCTGTAATAAGGTCTGGTGCCCTCTTCTGGCCTTCCGCATACACACAGACTATTGTATACATAATAAATAATAAAAATAAATATTAAAACAAAAGATAAAACAGGACTGATGAGTGTGGTGGCTCAGGCCTTCAATCCCACACTCAGAAGTAGAAGAGGGCAGAGCTCTGTGAGGAAAGGCCAGCTTGGTCTACAGAGTGAGAGCTCAGAGCTATGAGAGCTATGAGACCCTGTCTTGATAGACAGACAAGAAAAGTAAAGAAACAAAACAAAGCAAGCCACTTTAACAACCTTCTGAGAGGATATGGGGGAAAAACAGAAACAGCACTCAACAGAAAGGAGAAGACCTGACTAAGCCACAGGCACGCAGACAATTTCCAGCCAGATTCAGGCTCCTGAGCACGAGAAGCAAATGAAAACTATTGGTGCTATGGCATCTGAGATCTTACATGGTAACAGAAGGTAGGTCATTCATTTCCAAACATCTAAGATAAACAAATAACTCATATCTGGAAAGACTGGCTCTTCAGCAAAAATGTGAAGCACTAAAGCAAGCTTCTTGGCAGCACATTCTTGTATTTGATTCTCCAGGTACATGGCATGGACTGTGCCCTTTGCCCAACAGGTAAGGACAGCAGCTCTTGTTACATCACCACACCTGGCTAAAGGTTCTCAAATTCCATGGGGATATCGAAGCCAACGGCAAAGACTCTGCCTCAGCACACAGGAAGGAAAAACCCAAACAAGAAAACAAAACACTAACCTTCAACTTTTCAAATAAAGGGAGGCAGCACTCAAATCTTTGTTGATTATATGTATAGACAGATTCAAACGTCAAAATCAACCAGTTTCCTAGTAAAGGGGCCATCACCAACTACTCAGACCAGTGCAAGGACTCCTCTATTACATCTCTAGCAGGTCATCTAGTTCCCGAGTGAATACAAGCTTTGATAGGGAGCTCAATGCTTTCAGCTCCAACTGTTATAAACTGTTTTCTTCTAAACAAAAACCAAGTCTATCACCAGATCCCTCCCCCAGTACTGTTCACATAATGGTTCTTATTCTGTCCTATAGAACAAAATTAACTCCTGAGAATGATGGATTTTTTTTCAATGGAAAATATTAAATCATTACTTCACATAAATACTTGTTGTGGCCCAACATCATGACTCTGTCATCCTCAATCATTTTGCAAAGAATTGCTGGTCCAGCAGGTGAGCTCTTTCCTCATTTGCAAAGTATTGTCTGGAGTTCACTTTCCCCTTGGCGTGCCAACCGAACTTTGCCCTCCACATCTATCACCATCTGGTCTGTCTTAGTTTGGATTCTTATTGCTGTAAAGGGATACCATGACTACGGCAAATCTCATAAAGAAAATATTTAATTGGTGGTGATTCTCTTACATTTTCAGAAGTTTAGTTCATTATGATCATGAAGGGGAGCATGGCAGCATGCAGGCAGACATGGTGTTGGAGCTGAGAGTCCTACATCTTGCAAACAACAAGAAGTTGACTGACTCACATTAAGTGCAGCTTAAGAAAAGAGACCTCAAAGCCTGCCCCCACAGTGACACAGTTCCTCCAACAAGACTATACCTCCTAACAGTGCCACTCCCTTTGGGGACCATTTTCTTTCAAACCACCACATTCTACTGCCTAGACCCCAAAGGCTTATAGCCGTATCATAATGGAAAAATGCATTCAGTCCAACTTCAAAAGTCCCGATAGTTTCTTACGGTCTCAAACATGTTTGAAAGTCTAGTCTCTTTTGAGATGAATGGCAATTTCTTAACTGCAATCACCTATAAAAATCAAAATCAAAAAGCAGATTACATACTTCCAACATATAATGGCACTCCAACACACAGGGAAGGGAGCATAGTGAGGAGATACTGGACCAAAGCAAGACCAAAATCAGCTTGGCAAACTCTAGACTCTGCATCTCCATGTCTGATGTCAAAACACTCTGCACATCTCCAGCTCTATTCAGCTTTGCTGACTGCAGCACACTTCTTTTTCTTGGGCTGCTTCCACTCCCTGTTAGCAGCTCTCCTCCATAGCTATCCCATGACTCTGGCATCTCTAACATCTTGGGGTCTCCAAAGCAATCCAGGCTTCAACTTCACACTTTAACACAATGGCCTCTCTAAGGACTCCATTCAGGGACACCCCTGACACATCCCTGGTCTCACTGGCTGTTCTAAAGTACGGAGGAAACTTCTATAATCCATTTCTTCCACCTTTAATTCTTTTTTTTTTCTTTTTCGAGACAGGGTTTCTCTGCACGCCACCATCGCCCGGCTCCACCTTTAATTCTAAAGCCAGAACCACACGGCCAAAGCTTTCAAGCCCTGATGCTTGTTGGGGCTGGAACATGGCCCCCAGTTTAACTCCAGTCTTACCAGATTTTTCTTTTCCTTTTTTGCCTAAGCTTGGACATTATCTTAAATTTCCAAACTCTAAGAGATGAGATTTGTATCACTAACCTTCTGTTACACATGAAAATGACAAATAACCTCAAAGAAGTTAGGTGATTCATCAATGTTACTCAAGAACTAACTAGCAGAACAAAGATGTTTACAAGTCAACCCACAGCACGCCAGAGACCTGGTCCTTATTCTATACTGCACTGTGTCTGCAGAAGATGGAAGAAAATGGGCAACCCATTCATACAAAGTCTACACTCACTGCTTAACCCTCTCAACTCCACATTCAAATAATCAACTCTAGGTTCAGATGCATCTTGTTACAAATCCCTAACCTAACACTTTAGGGAACCATGGGAATACAACTATTCTGTACCTAATATATAAAAAGGAA